TTAATAATGATGTTTGTATTTGTTATAAAAATAATGAGATATTTTAAAAAACTGATTTGTTACACGAGTCGGATTTTTTATTTTATATATGTAATTACACTTCCTGTGACATATCGTTTGACTGTTATGTTTGTACAGAAAAATTACGCTTTCTAAGAAAAGATGACTCATTTTTTATTTATTAATAATACATTTTGTTTCCACTCCTTTTTAAATATTATAAGAAATCATAATGATGTTCTTGAAACTTACTTTCCTAAAAATTTTTCTATTTTATATATATATACAGTATACAATATATAGAAACGGGCGATTTAATAATAATAAAAATGAATACTAATTAGTAAGAGACAAAAATATTTTCAAGAAGTTTCTTGGTAATTGTAATATCTGTAATAACAATATCATCTTGTACTATTTCTCTAGATTAAAAAATGAAAAAATATAAAATAAATGGTTTAAAGAATTGATAGATAAATCAGAAAAGACACAAAAATTGAAATCGGTATTACGCAAAAATATGATTGAAGCAAGTATTTTATAATAATGATCAAACAACTGTCTTCCGAAGATTAAAAATTTTCATTATTATTTATTTCAATGATGAGAACGTGAGATTTTAGTTATCTATTCCAACTATGAGAGAGATTTTATAGTTATCTAGGGTTAATATCGATATTACTTCTAGGTATCTAGAACTATATTAGGCCCCAAACTGTCGAAATTACTTTATCTAACTACATTGAATCTGCTCCTCTTCAAAAAAAAAAAAAAACTGATAAATTTGATTTTTTAAATGATTTATATATTATATGTATATATATATATATACATATATATACAGTTATACATTATTTCTGTTTAGAAACAAACAAATAAAGAGTATTTGGAATGATCGAAAATATCAATACAAGAAACTTCCACATTGTCGATTCAAATTTTCAGATAACGTGTTCACGTTAAAAGGCTTGATGATAAAGGCATTCACGTTAACCGATTTGAATACGTTAAGGAATTCGTATGGAGTTCTAGAAAGCAGACCAATGTCAGAAGCCACCTGGCAAAACGAAATATACAGTTGTATTAAAACTTGACTACCCAATAATATATTCATTTCATCGGACATGGTAACGTATTAATGTCGATGGAACTGTTGATATATTTATTGCACCAAAGGACTGGGCGATAAAACTACTGGTAGACGGAAATTTGTTTTCGTCGTTTTTTGACTGGATGATTTTGCTTTTTTGCGATAGGTTTCCCATCCTCACCTCTTGAATAATCTGATAAAATTCGATGTCGTTTACTTGCCTCTGTGGCAATTTTCCCCAAGTGTTGCACAGAGTGCTGTAAATACTATATAGCTCATTCTGTAGTGATAATGATAACATTGCATCAAGTGGAAGGTCATGCTCCTCCGACGATACCAGTTTGGCAAAGCATGATGTCAGGTAGATCTTGATTCTCAAACTCAAGTAAGAGTGATTTTAAGGTTGTTGGGAAATCTTTCTCGGTATGTAGTACAACGATAAATAATAAATAAATATTTTAAAAAAATTCAGCCAATTGTAACTGTTTACAATAACCTTTCAAAACACACTTTACAAAACCATAATTATGAGTGTTTGAGTCATCTGGGGGGTGGCGGTAAAAAAGGAAGAAAGTTAAATACTCTTACAGTATTAAAAAAAAAAGAATTGTGCAAGTATAAAATTCCAACCCAAATAAACTCATGAAGAAATTGTTGGATTATTTGAAATTAGTAAATCAACTGTTGATGATATTTTGAGAAATAAAGATAAGTGGCTTGCAGTTACAGAAAGTGATGCAAATAAAAATTGTGAGGTGAATGGTCACAATTAGAGAAAGCATTGGTGATTTCCCAACGAAGCCAACCATACAATAACTGGTGCAATTCTGAGTGAAAAGGCAATACAGTTTGCCCAAAGGTTTAATATTTCCAATTTCAAGTCATCACAAGAAAGTATCAATTTCTTTTCATGATATTGAGTGTTGCTAAATGTAGCAGATAGTTATATAACCAGTTGCTCGAGCTAGAAATTAATTTTTTTCTTGCATACCAGATCTAAATGCAAACTCTGGCGACCAGTTGTATATAACTATTGTTACATTTAGTAATTAATTTGATAATTTTTATTAAGTATCTATTATTAATTTTTTAAATAGGGATGGGTTGCAAATTTTAAAAAAAGAAATAACATTAAAGAAGATTATAAATCAGGAGAAGCAGCAAGTGCACCAATTAGTGAACTACCTGCATTTAGAACCAAACTACAATCTATAAATGCAGAATACGATTTGGAAAATGTGTACAATGCAAATAAAACTGGCCTTTATTGGAAACTAGAACCTCATAATCTCTTGCTACTGGACCTATTACTGGATTAAAGAACCCAAAAGATAGAGTCACTATAATTCTTGCATATAATGTAATTGGAACTCATAAATTACCTCCAGTATTCATCTATAGATATAATTTTAAAAATTTTATATCAGAAAAGGCAGATGAAAATGATATAGTTAAAAGATCATCACCACTCTCCATATGGTCCTATTGGAACAGCTCATCATGGATGCAGCATTTTCAAAAGTGGATTGGACAATTTAATCAAGAAATGCGGAGAATATTTTATTATTAGGTAGATAATGCTTCTTCACACCAGTTGGAAGAAGGTGAAAAGTTGAGTAATATTAAATTACATTTTCTTCCACCAAATATGACCTCTCACCTTCAGCCAATTGATCAAGGCATAATACAATCATTTAAAGTAATTGTGTTATTTTTTTTTTTCCTGTTTTAATTAAAAAAAATTTTTTTACTCATTGCAAAAAATTACTATGCCAAAATAGGGTTGGAGCTTTTGATGAACTCAAGAACTTGACATTGAGATTACTAAATTAAATGCAATTAATTGGACAGCACAAGCTTGGAACAATGTAACTGATGACACCATATACTGTTGTTGGCAAAGAACAGGAACCTTACCTAGTGATGAAATATTGAAGAAGGATCAGATGAGTTAGATAATGAAGAAAATATAGTACAATTTCTTATTAATCAAATGAATGTTGATGATATTACAGCAAGTAATTACATTAATGTTGACTCTAGAATAGAAACAGCTGAAATGATTAATGATGATGAGATAATTGCTGTAGTACAAGAAGCACCAAAAAAAGAAGAGGAAGATATGAGTATTCAAATATCAAATACAATTGCCATTGATAACATCCAAAATCTATTGATATAAAAGTAATCAATTCAGTAATCTCAGGATTGAGAGATCTACAATCTCAAATTAGAAGAAAACCAAATGCTTCACTAAAGCAACTTACTTTAGAAAGTCTTTATAATACTTAAAATATATGATTTTTTTTTTGATGTAGTCATATTATTATGTTTATTGTTATTATGTTTATTAAAACATTTATTAAAATGTATTTTTTAATAATTTAAAAAATTACATGAATTAAATAACTCAGTTCTCTCAACAAGCTGGTCATAGGGCCCACCCTGATATGACCAACTAGCGTTTTTCCTATTGAAAGGTATTTTCCTGCACCTTTGTTATTATTTGTATATTCCAAATTTATTTGATTGTTCTTGTCGTAACTTTTTATTAATCGTTATTCCTTTAAATATCTTCAATATGACTGACTTTTATCTTTATAATATTAATATACTTCTAAATTCATGACATAATAATGGATGGATGTATGGTAATTTTCCCAAACTATGAATTAAAAATAAAATTCATATTTCAACTGTATTTTTAATTTTCGATTTCATTGATACCAACATCGAGTTTTTGTTATCATTTAAAATTTGATATTATACATCATCTAATTCATTTCTAGTATTATTTACGCCGTTTACATATCCTCATCTTTATATTTATACAACCTTTAGCCACTTCTTATGAAAGTGATTGATCACTTTCATTATCGTCTTCAAACACTATATTTTCTCCTATTTGACATAGTAATAAATTGATTGGTATTTTCTTATAATACCTTAAAAGTTTCCAAACCCTCGCCTGAAATTAAATAGCAGCTTTTTATATACATTCTATTTACTTCTTTTCAAGAATTATGTATTGATCACGAGACTTTGATTTTAGTTATTGACTTGACTAAAAATAGTTTCGCACAAAGGCATTTTGACAATTTGGACAAGTAAAAACCCTTGACGAAGTAGTAAATCTTGATGTAAGTAAAAAAAGGATAAAGTAAATCATTAATTTTTATCCAAGATAATAAGATATTAAAAAAAATCAGCTATGTAATAATTAAAATTGCTACATCATCCTCTGTCATCATCGTCGTCATTATCATCATTATTGTTGGAATTCCATTTTTCATTGAATACCTGCTTCGTTAATTAATATATCACGGTCCTTAATTTCGGCACATTATTAAATTGATTTGATCCGAGAGTTTATGAATTAAATGGAGTAGAATAGAACTGGTATGGTTGCAATGATCATGATCATATAAATCCGGTGGAGATAATCCGAAATAAATTGGAGGTTGGGATTTGTGACCTAATGACTTTACTTTGCAATCAAAATGAAAGTTCATTTCTCACGAGGATGGAAATGCTCAAGGCTTTAAGCTTTGTAACAACTTTTTTGAGAATAAATATCAATGTAAATTATTAATTACCCAATATATCTTGACCTATTATTATTATTTTTTTAAATAAAATTTTCTCTGTTTTTATATTTATTTATTATATTAATATAAACATAAAAAACATTTAATAATTAATATTAATATTCTTCCAATTGCCTAGGATATTATAGGATATTATCTAATATTTAAATAATATATAACTATTGTTTAATATATGCCTTCTATTCAAATTATTTGTGATGAATAAATTTTTTATTCAAATGAAACGAACAATTCGAATGAAATGAATAATTTGGATGAAGCTGGTGATCATATTACTATATTTAATATTTTTTGATTCAAAAGAGATGATGTCATGTCATTCATTCAAATTTTGCAACTATTTTTTAACTCATTCATCTGACCAAAAATTATAAATAGATAATCAACATGATCTTTTTTCAGAAAATAAAATTTTTAAATGATAAACGATAATGGACTATACTATTGTAAAAAAAAGTGAAGATCGTAATAAACAAAATGACGACGATGAAGAAATTGAATGGGTTACAAGTTAAGTATAAAACATATAAATATGTATCATATTGCATATTGTATTGTATCGTGTATGTATATATACTCATTCACGTTACGATTACAGGCTCTTCATTGTTACCACAAAAACCATCAAATGAAACTCTCTATAATCCTATGCCAGATTTTCTAAAAAATCAAAATCAAAAACAACAATTCTTCGATGACTCGCATTCTAATAGGAGTTCATATTATAAAAATAATAATAGTTGGAATATAGATGAAATCAAACTTCCACTAAAACAAATACATTTCAGTGGTTCCCGAACATTGTGCATACGTTCAGCAGATCAATATGATATGGCATTACTTTTATATAGAAATACACGTGAAATTTCTATATGTATGAACCATATGAAAGATGAAATTTGTATTGGATTAAAAGATGTTGAAGGTGCTAAAACTATTCAAGATAATTCCATAGTAGTCAAACTTAAACCAGACTTTGACAAGGTAGTAATTAAATATATTTATTTACATGTAAATATAATAATAATCATATTTAAAAATATGTGATTTTATGTAAATAACTGTGTATATTACATATATCGATTTACCTACTCTCCCATTCTCTTCGCGTACACACACATACTCGTACATATTTAGAAATTTTATCATCATTCAGAAGGATATCCATACAAATTTAGATCTGTTCGTACTGATATTGATCCAACAAAAGGTATAATAAATGGTATAAGATGTCTTAATTTTAAACCTGAACATAGATTTGATACCAGTAGATCACGGATGTTTGAGAAATCATTGAATACTATGATTCGTCAAATCAATAAGGTAATGATGAATGGAAGTGGAAATAAGATTAATATTATGAGATTACATACAAGATTGAAATGTTTTTAAAAAAAATTTAGAGTAATTTGGAAAAAAGACATAAATTTAGTCCAGTTGAATTCGCTAAAAATCAAATAAATGTATTTACGGAAACTAAAATCAGCCAAAACCCTGAGAATGAAGAGGCAAGAAAATTTATTATATTAATTATTATAGTTAATTTATTATAACTCCATAATATTCTATTCCATAAAATTACTCTAGATATATGTTACTTGTACATCATCAACACAAAAACGTGCAATTGTTCTTCATACAAGTGAGTTATTTAGTTATTTCAGATTTCACGTTCAATATAGATTTGGATGGAAGTATAAAAGGATGTGGTACAAGGGTCTAAATGATTCATGGATTCTATTAAAAGATGAAGATAATTGGAAAACCATTAAAGATAAGATTGCATTAAATGAAGTACTAAGGCTTGAAGTTTTTATGAAATAGTTTGTTTTTTATCAATATTATTATATATATATATATATATAAATAAGAAAAGTAAATAAATATGTAATTAATCTAAAAAATTTCTTATAACTACTATTATTAGTGTCTATATTTATATTTATAATTCATCCTTATGTGGTTTTTTATCATCATTAGCAAGAATATCAAATAATTTATCAAATTCATCTTCACCATCTTCTTTCACTTTTTCCTCACTAACTTTTTCAACTTTTTCAATTTTTTCTTCTTCATGAGATGGTGGTTTTTGCTGCTGATTTTGTTGTTGTTGTTGTATTTTATCATCAATCGGCACTGCTCTAAGAATTTCTTGATTATCTTGATTATCTTGAACGTTTAATTTTTTATCATCTTTACCATTGAAACTATCAGTAATATCATCAGTTAAATCTGAATCTAAATCAAGATCTTCTTCGTCAGGATCATCAGAAACCTTAATTGTCTCGGATGAATCCAATTTTTCTTTCGCTTCGATTTCTTGTTCACGGAATTTCTCAAATGTTTGGTTTGCAAAAGTCGAGGCAAATTCAACATCGTCCGTAATCAAAATATTATCAAAAATAGTACCAGATTTAACTTGCCATAATTCAAATCCAACATATAAAGTTTTGTAGGCGTGAAGTGATGGGTCTGGTTTATAGTCAGGATTTGAGATTTTTGGCTGTTTCCACGGGCCTTTGTATAATGGATTTTTTATCATTTTTGGTTTCCATTCACCTTGATAATCGGGATTTGAGATATGTGGTGCTTCCCAATCACCATCTGACTCATCTATTTATTAAATATACAAACGTTATATTATTTTAGTCTTTCTTTGGCGGGAAAAGAAAAAGAAAAGTGTTTTACCATCCCAATCATCTGGTTTTTCAGCATCTGGATCAGGTATTGTTTGTGGAACGTCTTTCCAATCTTCTGGTTTAGTGTCATTTGGATCTATTATTAATTCATCATCTACCCAATCTTCTGGTTTTTTAGCATCAGGATCTAAAAAACATAAATAAGATATATTTTAGTGATCAAGAGAATTAACTAAAAAAATTAATAAAATAAACTAAAATTCTAACCATTAATTTCTTTTGGAGGAAGAAAATCGAAATCATCTTCTAAATTACCACTTGCTTCTTCTTTATTATCAACTAAAACCTTATATGTCTAATATATTATATATATATATATATATATATATTAATTAGTGTAAATAATTGATTGATTGAATTTAATTTGAATTATTAAATTAATATATTACATGATCTGGTTTAACAATCAATGTGAATAAGTGAGTTAATTGATCGTATGGAGTTGGAAGGTTTTTGTTTATTAATTTATTTTCTCCTTTATATTGAAAGATCAAGTGTATTTTACGTTTAGGTCCACAAATATCTGGCTAAAAAAATACATATTATGATATTATTTAATAATGATGTTTTGCTAGGAAATTAGAAATTTTAATGATTGGTAAAAAATGGAAATAAGAAAAACTTACACCAAACATTATGTTGTATTTTGAATCACCATTAAAATTCAAAGGATCAAAATCTTCAGGTAAAAGCTGATCATTAAATAAATCATAAAGTTGATAAATTAAATTTAGCACGTCATTCATTATCAATCGATCTTATCTTTTAATAGTTAATTACCTTGATATAACCACCTCCACAATCGATATTTTGTTCATGCTTTACCGAAAATTGCACAACTTAATTACATGTTTATACGAAATGCAAGTAAATATAATAGTAATCGATTTTTAAAACTCGTGATTAAATTTTAAATTTACCTAAAGTTTTATCAGTGTTATCGATTAAATCATCTAATTTTGTAGAGATTGCATATTTTTTGGCATCTTGGGATGTTTGCAAGCCACGAGACTCTAACTCATCGACATAAAATTTACCAGCTGATTCAACAAATTCACCGAGATCATCACTACTTTTAGATTGGATCCATCTCTAATTAATTAATCAATCATTGTTTAATTAATATATTAAAGTAATCAATATGCTTCTTGAAAATATTAATGACTTGTAATAAAAATATTTATTTATTTACTTTTTCCCAATCGGTGTCCAAGAATTGTTCCTTCAAATAAATTTTTGCATTGATAATGTTCGATAATAACGATAAAAATAGTATAAAATATAACAACAGTAACGAAATTAAAGAATTTTTTATCATTCTTGTAAAAAAATTTTTTTAATTAATTATTGATTTATATTAAAAAATCAATTTTCAATTAAATTAACAAGTAAAAGAGAGGAGGAAAGAATAAAAAAGGACAAAACGGGATTTTAATTTAATTTTTTGATCCAAAAAATATGTGGCATAAAATGAAAGGTCAATTCAAAATGTTACATTACAAGTTACACGATATTTGACTTCATTTGTTGGGTTTGTCGGGCGTAACATTATCCAATCAATTTTTGAATTCTCGGAGATAGCTTCTAAATTTGTACTAGTTACACGGCAAACTGTATTTGGGATATTTGGATTATTTTTAAATTTGTAGTTACACGCGTCCATTGAAAAAAAAAAACAAATCGTTACACGCATTAATTATTTAAACACACAAAAAAAAAAAGTGAGGCTTATTATTACAACAATGATACGTTGCACATACCAGAAGATGTCACGCACAGGTGAATAAATATCACTCAAGAAAAAAGTCATTTTCCAATTTTGGTAATCGAAAATTAAAATCAAGAGTTTGGCTGTAATAACAACAAATTTTTGCGAGGCCATTCTGGTATTTTCTTTCGTTAAAGAACTAGCTCTTGGGTCATGGGTTACATACAATTGATCCAACAATACTTGATGATTAAATGATTAAATCATATTTCCTCTTTTGGATGGACATACAGCCAGTGTTTAACAGCAACAGTTAATATTGATGTAAAAATGAAATGTATATATCAACAAGTCCTATAAGATTTACATCTAAAAAAGATAAATCACAGCCAGTTGTTGTCATTAGATTCATTCCTTAAAGGCATTAATCAAGTGAAAAAATACCTGAATTAATGACTCACCTTGGTGAATTTCTACCCATGTATCCCTAAATCACTTGAAATCACGAGATTTCAAATTTTCAGTAGGCGTTGACACATATTTCTCTAGTTCAAGGAGCGGGAACCTTCGTAACTCAAGCGGTGAGGAAATATCGCTTGTGCTATATTTGCATCATAATGGAGGTTCTATTCATGCTAGAGCAAATATGCGTAAAAGGTGTAAGCTCCATCGGATCCATGTAATTTTACTCTTTAAACACAAGACATGAATGAATGAACATTAATTAAATATTTAAGGAACTATTTGTGTAATAAAAAAAGTGACACAAACTACTAAATTACCATTATATTACATTATTATTTAAGAATCACATCCACTTATTTTCCCTCTTTTGTTGGAAAATATTTTTTATTCCTCTTTTTTCTATATTAAGCTTTGTTCTTCTTTTGGATCCTAAATATTCTCCAATATATAACAATTTACGTTTTTTAATTGAATGTTAATATTTTCATTTTCAAGATCTTTTATATAATAATTATAATATGGAAACTTTTTAAATAATAATAATAACAATAATAATAACAATAATTAACGTAGAATTTTTTAATTTATTGAATAAAATCCATTAGACACTTTTAAAAAACTAATTTATAAAACGAAGAAATGTTAAAACTAACAACCTTTGATGATACTAATGAAATCACAATAATGAAAATTGCTCATTATAATAACCACGTGAAAAATAAAAAAATGAAGAATAATTATTCAAAAAAGTTAAAATTTATAACAACACTTAATTTAATGATAATATATTATCTATTAATTATTATTATTAGTCCAAATGAAGTGATTGGTCAAAGTCAACAACCTACATCAAATCCAACAATGACAATTCCTCAAATGGAATGGATAAATATACAGTATCCATCTACAAATACTGTGGTGCCTCCTGGACTAAAAAATTTTGCTTTTGGTTACCATTCAGATTCAAAAAACTTAATTATCTATGGTGGATCGTAAGTAATATATATGATTAATTAATTAATCAATCAATTTAATTTCAAAATTTACCAATTTTTCTTTCTCTTGCTCTCTCTGACTATAGATCGTTTGGTGGTGGTGTATCAGGCCAAACCTATATGTTAGATTTAAATACAATGTTATGGAAAAATCCATTAACAACTGATCCTACAAAAATTGCACCGGATCCACGTACAAGAATGCTTTTTGGTATGGATAAATGGTCGTCGTACAGAGACCAATTAGTTATTTTTGGTGGTAAAGGAAATGGTAATACCGCATATAATGATATTTGGTCTTTTAATGTACCATATACCACTTGGACACAAATTTCAAATATTTCCCCAAGTACATCCTTTATACCTCAAATGTATGATACTCTTGGTGGTATTGATAGTACATTAGCAGTACTTAATAATCCTAATAACACAATGTGGATTACTCATGGAACTAACGGATCAAATTTTTTTACTGAAGCTTGGGCAATAGGCTTGGGCGGAAGTTGGGCCCCCGGTAATAATGGATTGACAGCAAATATAGCAAAGCTAGACATGTCTTCATCTTTGGTTATGCCAACAGGTAGGAGAGAAGCTGGTGGTGCCATCTTGCCTAATAATAGAATAGTAACGTATGGTGGATGTAATAATACATCACCGGAGGAATGTGCAATTCCTGAAACCTTTTCATTACAGTTAAATTCTGACGGAGTTAACCCACCTGCTTACAATGCTAAACCCTCTTGGGCCGAGCAGAATAGATGTTTAGGTAGTAGAGAAGAGGCTGCTATGGTAATGGTTGGTAAGAAACCACAAGATAATTTAGCGGTGGTTTTTGGTGGTAAGGCTGCAAATGGCACTGGAATAGGCGGGGATGGTGAAGTTGGTATTTTGGATGCTAATCTTGGAACTTGGGTAAGAGTATTACCAAAAGCTGACCCTGTATATAATGTTCCAAAAGCAAGAGCCGGCGCAAGGATGTTATCAGCTCAAGCTGCAATATTGGGTAGTGCAACCGATGTTGTTGATATTTTGATGTATGGAGGCGAGGCATTGGATGGATCTTCAAAATATTATAATGATTTATGGATTTTAAGATTGTACACTGGTACTCTTATATCACAATCATCAACTACTACAGTGAAATTTTTAGATTGTATAATTGAAGATGTTACAACAACTTCGGTTTCTCCACCTTCTCCAACCAGCAGTGGGACTAATGAGGTACCAACCGGACGGAATCATACTTCAAGTAACACAACATCTTCTGACGATAGTTTTGCTAATGCTATAGTACCGATTTCACATTTATTATTTTCTACCATCGGTTATTTATTATTAGTAGTATCATTTTCAATAGTAAGATTCGGGTATAATTCAAAATTCAAATTGTTGGTTGGAATATCCTATGCACTATTACTAGTTTCGTCGTGTGCAATAGCATTTTATGGGTTTAGCGTAGCATTCATTGACGCTAGAGACGAACTGGCTTCACATTTTTCATCATTACATGGATTAATAGGAGTGATATTAGTAATATTATTATATGTATTGGTCCCATTATTAGCATTGATTTTATTATTCATGACAAAAAGTTTTGATCCTCCCAATAATGACGAAAAATTAATAAAAACTATAGACCATGATAATGCTAATAAAGGCGGATTTTTAAATAAATTATCAGCAATATCTAATAGGAATCCTTTTAAAAAAGGTTCAAATGATGATTACTCTGATAGTAATGGAAAATCAAAAACATTTGAAGTCACAAGACAATCATTATCAATAATGAAATCTGTAAGTGATGATAACGATTGGATGGAACAACGTAGAAGTGTCTCGTTAGTTGATAACCACAAGGCCGTAAATTCTTTTGGATCGAGAAATAACAGTCTACAAAATAATTCATCACAAAGTAGCGACGGGTCATCACCAGGAAGTCGATTAGGAACCGGATTAGGATTAAGTAGTAACAGTAGTAATTTTAAAACGAATATTGATAATAGTGATAATAGCAACCATAAAAAGAATAATAGCAGTAGCAGTAATGTTAGTCATGGTAATAGAAGTAACATCGGCGATAAACCAAATAATCCAATAATGGTCATCAGACATATTTTCCATATAATCACACAAATCATCTTATTATTAGGAGCAATTTACATAGCATATTATTTGGGAGCAACAAAAATGTTAAGCAGAGTGTATTGTATAATTTTTATCGCGCTCGTCGTATTTGTTTATTTGGTTTGGTTATTCGCTGCTTGGTTAGGATATCCAAAAGATAGAGGATCATTGCTAGTATCATTTGCTGCTAAATATTGTGGTGGTAGAGACAATTACTTACCATATTCTAATGAAGGTGACGAAAGTGATGGCGAGGGAAAAAAGGAAATTACAGCTGTTTCTCCTACTCCTCTAAATATAAAGAATGTAAATAATGGCAATAATGATGTTGATGAAGATGCTGAACAAGACATGAGGGATAGAGAAGTTGTTGTCATGACAATACCAAAAAGAAGATTAGCTGTTGTCAATGTCTAGGAATTCAATTTAATTATAGAGTTTAATGACCAAGTTTTAATGTAATTAATAAATCTCGGATTGGAACTATGGTTAATTTTAATATTTATAATTTTAATAGTTTAGTTTATATGATTATTTATTTTTTATAGACTTATTGTAAGAATATAATACGTAAATTATTATTTTAACTGTGATATTTTTTTTTCATATTTTAAATATTTATTTAATATTTTAATATCAAGTAATATTTCCTATCAATTATCAATTTTAGTTTCATTTATTTATGTAATTATTGTAATTGGACAAAAAAAATTTTCAATAAATAACGATAATAATGTAGAATTAGATTCTTCAAATTTCATATTTAAAAATAATATGTAAATAAATAAAATCAACAAAATCAAGTTACTTTTTATAATATGTTCTAATCATGTCATATTAATTAATATTGAATCGATGGATTAAAGCCATAATTACTACTAACGTTGTCCGCAGTCGATATCATGTAAAGAATACTGTTAGGCATAACTCATCAAGAAGAGTAATTTCCAGCTTAAAAACTATGTCAATCATATTATTGCATTATTTAATCCTTTTCTTGAATGTGAATATTTCTGCCCCCACTATTGTATCACGCCTATTATGCATTTGATTATTCATAATTAATATTGATAATAATCAGGGTTGGCATTGGACAATGTTGGATACTGTCCAATGCATATCTAATGTCTCCCATGTTCAATGTCAATCCACACTGATAATAAATACTAAGAAATGAAACTTTTAAGGAAACAATTTTGAAAAAAACCCTGACAAGTAAAAGATGGGAAAATTTGGCAGATTTGAAAAATAAACCCTTGATAACTTTAAACTGAAATTCTTTTCCATGTAGAATAATGGTTCCGTTGCCTTATCGCCCAAGTGGTAGTGGTAATAATGGTCAAATCTCTCTACTTGATTCACTTTTTTTTTTTTTTTGATATGTGCTTCCCAATTGTATATATAATTACAAGTTATAGAGTTCCTTAAAAATCATCTCTAAAAAAATCAAATGAATAAACCTGAATCTGATCTAATTTAATAAAATCTTCCTTTACGAACATGCAATCACCATCATTCATATCCTTTCCACAGGTTACAACGAATTGTTGAAACGTGATTAGTAGGTTTGGTGTAACGAATTTAATTGCGGTTTTCTATCGTTGAGATTTGACTGGATGAATGCATATATATTTCAGATCTAAAACCATTTTTTTATTAGAAGTACAATATTGTTTAAACATAGAATCTTGAATTGTTATCATTTTAATCTGTCATAAAATCATTGATGACGATTTAAATGTTCTAGAATTCAAGTATATCGTATAATTCATTATTGTTTTTACTTCTATTATTCCAGTGGTCTGCAAGATTGTGATTTTTTAAAAAATAATATTAAATTCGAGCCAGCGTTTTTTCATGTTCAAGTCCGAGCTAAGTATAAACTCAGTTCGTTCGGAGCTTTACAAAATGGAGCCTAATTATGTGGGATGCTTCTTTACCACCAAACTTGGGCATAGCTCCTCTAAACCATGATGCTTGATTCTATGTGATATGTCAACAGTGAATTCAAACAGAATACCAGTCATCAATACTTTCGAAATTACTGACACAATACTTCCCATCTTCAATATTTGAAACATCACGAATCATATTTTCTTCTAAAGTTCTAAAACAGATATCATTTTGTGATGAATCACCATCTGACAAATGACGTACTTGGTAACAGTTCCCTAGACAGATGTGGACATGTTATATCCTTTTGAAAATCTGCTCATATAAAAACTCCATAATGCCAATGTTCTCAGAATTTTTTTATCAATCGAGTTATTACCAGGGTTTGAGAATAGCAGACTGTATATGACAAACATTGATGCTTATCTTCCTCCTCTTCAATAGATTGTGATGTGAATTATCTTATCAATTTTACCTATATTAATAATTTTTCTTTAAATCAAATATAAATATTTTAATGTCATTACCATGTGGCCAAAAACATAATAAAAACTCATTGATCACACCTAACAAAAATAATTGTATTTTCTACATTAATAAATTTAAATGGATAAAAAATTAAATTTTAACAAAAGATCAAAGTGTATTAACTAAATTATACTTATCATCAGTTTAGATTTACTCTTCATTGATACTTGAGATATATCTTGCCAAATACACTGTTTTTTTTAAATGGGGGTTTCACGAATAAAAACAGCTCAATTCCAGCATCATAAACACATAAAAATTCATTGTGCAGATTATTGACTTTTAATTTTTTTGTTTCTTGCGCATCTGTCACGATGAATATCCAGTCTTTTGATATAAGTTTTCATGACTAGGCCAGCTTGATTCCAACATTGTGAATGTGGTAACAAAAATATTGTTACAAGTAAATTTTAAAAAATTGCACCACCCAAATAATAATATTAGGGCTGTGCGTACATTAACTTTAAAGAAAAATAATGGTGAAGATGGAGTGGCAAAGGTGAAGATGGCGGTAAGAGTGACGATGGTGGTGGTGATTTTTCATCATATTATTTCCTCCCTCTGATGTACAAGTTCTTTAAAGATCATTTCTGAAAAATAAAAATAAATATACTAGTTCCAATATATTATGTAGTATTGGGCATTGAATCTAGTAAATTTCCCACATTCTTAGTCGGACATCCACATGAGATATTATGCCCTCGAGCAACTCAGTAACTCACGAAAAAGAATGATGAGAACTGGTGACCATATAAACCCTTCTAAAAAAAGAAATGGTCAATCGTTACATTTTCAAAATAAATGTCATTAATTGACATTAATTATGAAAAAATGCAATATATGTTTCACTCAATCACAACCATTGGCGATTGGGGTTTCCCTAGAGCATTCAGTCACCAAGAATTGAGAAGGATGTTCACAATAGATTGTTCACCGTACATTAGGATTGGCTACCTAATTAGCAACTTTCATAAGTTGTGGCATCCAGTTCTCTTTAATTCATATATCTATTCACCACAGACCCTCTTGATACACATTAGCTGGCTTTCGGTTGGTGTAGAGAGAAGGACGTTTACGACATCACCGTACATTAGGACTGGCTACCTAACTGGCAACTTTCATAAGTTGTAGCCACAAAGTGCTTCCAGCTCTCTATTTACTAAATTCCTAGTGGTAACTTACAATCCAACAAACTTTATTCTATGAACTCTATATTATTATCTTTCAAAGTGATTTAGATTGATCATTTGATTTTTATTTTTAATTTCTATTTCAAAATTATTTCCTTTAGTATAAACATGAATGGTAAATAATTGTTTAAAAAAAACAGAACGCGTTCGTTACACTTATTGTTCCACATTTCCCGCCGATCCATAGGAGGTTGGGGTGTACGATGGACTAATGTAGATCAAAACTAATATAAAATTTACTAATTAACTTTTTTTCAACGAATATAAAAATAAAAATTGCATCTTCTCCTTCAAAAAAAAAGAT